AAATGCGTGTGCTTTTTACGCGCAGTGGAGGATAGTTTGGGTGCTTTGGAGGCGGAGCTACGCGAACCAAAGTATGGGGAGTATTACCTCTGTCAGTCAGTCGATCCGCGGATTTGTGCATCTCAGAATCGGTGCTGAATATTATTTCAATGGCAGACTTCAGCAATATCCTTACGAAGACGGCGATAGAACGCCTTGCAGAAGCGGATGAATACGAAGTGGTACGAGAGGTGCAGGTGCGTTGTGTCTTCCTAGCCTAAATTTATCTTTATTGAATGCATCTCGCAGGAATACTTTGCCGACTACGCGCCTATTCTCCCATCGTTGTTTTCGCTGAACCATGTGCCATCATCTGCCCACCCTCTCTATGGATCAAATCCACACTCCTGGAATCCAGATGCATTGGAGCGATCGGTGCAGGGCATAACAGCTGTTCTCTTAAGTTTGAAGAAGAAGCCAATCATTCGCTACGAGAAGATGAGCGGAATGGCAAGGAAACTAGGCGGAGAAATCCATGTTAGTGAATTAGAAGACTTATCAACGCCTATTTTTTCTTATCTTTCGAGCACAGCATCGAATGCAGAATGAATCTTCGCTTTTCGACTTCCGACTTACACAAATGCCTCCTCTTTTGTTAATTCTTGATCGCAGAAATGATCCTGTGACCCCTTTACTCTCACAATGGACGTATCAAGCCATGGTACATGAGCTCATCGGTATACAAAATGGGAGAGTCGACCTCAGTCAAGCGCCTGGGATCCGTCCGGAGTTGAAGGTGCGTGCAGTAGCTTGCCTTTATTACTTGAAAAACATTGTCAGTACAAGAATCTCACGTTCGAGACAGGAAGTGACGCTTACGACGTCAACTGATCCTTTCTTCCAAGGACACCACCTTGCCACGTTCGGTGATCTCGGCACCTCGCTCAAATCATATGTCCAATCGTATCAATCTCGCTCTCTTGCACACTCCCCCTCTGCAATAAACTCGATTGCAGACATGAAAAAATTCGTCGAAGAGTACCCTGAATTCAGGAAGCTGGGTGGGAACGTAAGCAAGCACGTTGCGCTAGTGGGAGAGCTAAGCCGGTTGGTGGAAAAGAACAAACTTCTCGATATGGGGGAAGTTGAGCAGGGACTCGCAACAACCGCAGGGACAGATCTAACGGCAAGCGTTTCTTCTAGATGTATCAATCGTATTTCTAATCTGAGCTTCGCAGGTTGTCCAGAACATAATACGTGATGGTGCTGTTTCTGCTCAGCAAAAACTTAGGATTGTAATCCTTTTCGCATTAAGGTATCAAAAGACGAAAGCCAACGACATCGCAAACCTCATCAATCTCATGCTTGAAAATGGAGTAAAGAATCAGGATGCGAAGGTACGCTATCATATTTCTCTCTCCGGCCCGTCTCCGTTTAGAACAGATTTTACAGCTTGTTTACGGGTTTTTGAACATCGCTGGTTCAGATCAACGTCAGGACGACTTATTTTCCACCGAGACTCTTTTAGCAAAAGGCTTCAGTGCGTTAAAGGGACTGAAGGTATTGCGGCATTTTTTACTATGTCGTTAAAATATGATTCATTGGTCACTTTATTATAGGGTGTTGAGAACGTGTATACGCAGCACAACCCCCACATTTCCCAGACTCTCGAAAATCTACTGAAAGGTCGTCTGAGGGAGACATCCTATCCCTTCGTGGAGAGTCCGGGGCCAAACGCGAGCTTGCAACGGTCAGTCGCATTGAGATCTCGCTTGTGTTATTTTCTAACATGCGATCTGCTAGACCACAGGATGTGATCATTTTCATGATTGGGGGTACGACGTACGAGGAGGCTCGTGTTGTCTCCCTTTTGAATCAAGACTTGAGCTCTGGTAGCGGGCCTCCGGGATCTGCGACAGCCTCCGCAGCAGGGACACGAATTCTGCTCGGCGGTACGACCGTACACAACTCCAGCAGGTAATGATTAGATTTCTTAATTATTCTCCGCGATAGTCCTGAAGCCAAATCCCTGTTAGTTTCCTAGATATGGTTAGAAGCGCGGTAGTTGGCTTTCCCGCGACCGTGTATGATCCGCCACCGGAAACACCGTCGAATGCACCTGCGCTTAATTTGACTTTAGGAAACGTCAATGTTAGTCTTGGTGGTGCCAACACTGGTGTATTTCGCACGGATGGCAGGAGTGGGCCAAGTGTGCAAACGGATGGGCTGAGAGATGGTGTTCGGAATTTACTGGGGAAGGTGAGGGAAGGCGTCGATCGGATTGGTCTTCAATAACGTCTGTAAATTGTGATCTTTCTCGCTCGTATATACCTTTCTGCGACCTGCGATTTTACAAGACGCTTGTTTTTGACGCGGGATTGTAATCAAATAAAGATTGCCGCAACAGAAGACGCGTACGGAAGTAGTCCACGAACGGAAGATCTGCGGCGGGTTGAGCGGCAACGCGCTGTGCAGCCTGTGCTCTTGGACACGTAGACACTCGCTCGTCACGCAACCTCTTTACCTCGACGCCTACTATCTGTGGCATCTCCTCCTTCCACTCTCTCTTTATTGATTATTGTTCCTGGTTGGCAACATGGCGAAGGGCTTATTTGGAGGTCTCAAGGGCGTCGATGCCTTTGGCAAGGCAAGTTACGGCCTCAAGACACCGCGCTCTACACACAGAGCTTATTTGCGCGAAATATATAGACAATGGAGGATGTGAAGGTCAAGACGAGAACAGGAGCCTTCTGTGAGTATAACATGTCGTTGTGCTACAGTTAGGACCCTGACAAGCCCTGCAACTCAGTGACCATCCTTTCGGCTGCTATTATTCTGGCCTTCAGCACGATCGAGTTTTTGGATTACCGTCGCGTCAACTTAGACACGTCAATTGTCGTCGACAAAAGTCGCGGAGAACGACTGACTGTGCAAATGAATGTGACGTTTCCGAAAGTGCCTTGCTATTGTGTGTCTGTCGCCACAACTCCGCCCGCTGTTCCTACCGAACTGACATGACCCTTGTCGCGTAGTGTTGAGTCTCGATGTTATGGACATCAGTGGCGAACAGCAAAGAGACCTCGCGCACAACATCATCAAGACGCGTCTCGCCGAGTCTGGCATCCCCGTCCCGGATTCTCACAGCGCGGAGCTGCGCAACAAGCTCGATGTCATGAATGATCAGACGAAGGACGGCTACTGTGGCTCATGCTATGGCGGCGTGGGGCCCGAGAACGGTTGCTGTAATACGTGCGAGGAGGTCCGCACTGCGTATGTGAATAAGGGGTGGAGTTTCAACAACCCGGACGCGATCGAGCAGGTGGGTAAACTACCGCTAGATTTCGATATATGATGCCAATCCTTAAGTATCATCAAGTGCGCACGGGAACACTGGTCAGACAAGCTCAAAGAGCAGGCGACGGAGGGTTGCAACATCTCGGGTCGCATTCGGGTCAATAAAGTCATTGGAAACCTGCACCTCTCGCCTGGTCGCTCCTTCCAGACCAACTACATGAATATTCATGAGCTGGTACCGTACTTGAAAGAAGATGGGGGACGCCACGACTTCGGCCACACCATTTATGATCTCTCGTTCGAGGCGGACGATGAGTACAACTTCTCCAAGAAGGAGAAGGGTAAGCAAATGAAAAAGAAGCTTGGCCTTGACGGGAACCCGCTGGATGGTGCTGTTGGAATTGTAGGCCTTTTTTTTTGAAATTGTATACGCCGAAAAGCTTATGCATGCTTTGAATTACTAGGCCAGATCTCCCCAGTACATGTTTCAGTACTTTTTAAAGGTCGTGTCGACTAAATTCGAACTCCTCGATGGACAGACGGTGCGTTTCCCATGGAGGAAAAGGCTGTTTTCGTCACTTGTGTTCATGCAGATTAAAAACCAGGTGAAAACGCATCAATATAGCGCGACCCACTTCGAGCGCGACCTCGCTTCCGGAGCCCAGAGTCAGACGAAAGAAGGCGTTCACATTACGCACGCAAACACGGGCATGCCAGGTGAGCATCCAAGCATTTTCTAATGTAGAATTCATGTAATTTAACTTGAATCAATAGGTCTGTTTATCAACTATGAGATCTCTCCTCTTCTCGTCGTGCACAGTGAGACTCGACAGTCTTTCGCACACTTCCTCACCTCGTAAGTCTAAATTTGTATTTCGTTTTAATTTGCACGCAAGATTCTAACCGTTTTGCGATCGGCATTAGGACGTGCGCCATCGTTGGTGGTGTCCTTACCATAGCGACTATCGTAGACAGCGTACTGTTTGCAACGGGGAAGAGGCTGAAGAAAGGTGCTGTAGCAAGTGTTGGTGGTAATGGGTACAGCAGTAGCAAGCTCATGTAATGCCGTCTATATTATATTGGTGGAAGGGATTTCTATGTATTATTTTTCCTGCGTTGATATTTCGGCTTCGATGTCAATAAGTTTACATCCGCTTGCAAGAAAGAACGAGGACAGTGGTTCCATATTACAGACTTGATTCCATACGCCTCTCTCAGTGAACCGAAGCCACAGCATGAATAAAGATGAAGAGATGGATAAAACCAGTCGTCAAAAGAAGAGATATACAATGAAGCATTGCATCGGCGAAGAATATGTATGAATCAGAACTTCGGAAAAAAAAGTGCGCAGGATGCTAGACTGCGCGACAGTCATTATATCATCTGCGGCCTGCCGCCTTCCTCCCCACTTGTATGAATATGTGCCAACAACCACCTTCTACAGTGTCCTTGAAAGTACATGTCTTCCGAGGGAAGGGCTGCGCATAAACTTAATAGCAATAGAATCAGAATTTGTATAGAAGTCCGTTTACATCAGAATACGCGGCAGTGGCGGCACAAGATATTAGAATAAATTCCTTCAATATGGAACTATCCACTGCGAGATGACGCGAGTTTGGCTTAATCCGTGGGTTCATTATGACCAGTCACATTAGTTTTGCGAATGATTGTAAAAGAGTTTGACAAAGGTCAAAAAGGCACGAAAAAAGCCAACGTTACCCATTGCATGCATTAAGAGGGAATCGAACCCCCGGCGGGTCGAAACCTTCTGGGTCCCGCTATGGCAACGACCCAGGTTACCACTACCCCATTAATGCATCGAAATTGTGTCTAAAGGTGGGTAGACAGTCTACGGCCCCCCTAAATAAGGAAAGTCATTCCCGTGTGCATCGCCTGCACGTTCACATCGTTGCATTCATCTTAGAAAAGACTAAACATGTCTAAGTATGAACACCCTCTCTTCAAACATATGTATTGAAAATACAACATGTACACAGTCGATTCGAGGTTGCACCGCTCGCTTTCCAATTCTGTCACGTGAGTTCGGTCGTAGTTCTGGTCATTGAATCTCAAGCTCCGTTGCAGGCCCGACAAAGGCCCTGCCACAAATACTAGATACAATAAAGTACAATTTTGGGTAATTTGAGCTGGCAGTGTATTGTAGGCAATGGTGAATGACAACGGAGGATGTGAATGAGTGTGTACGACGCGGACGGGAACCACCTTCCTTATTTAGGGGGGCTGTAGACTTTCTACACCCACCTGTATAAATTATTTATAAGTAGCAGTCAAAATAAATATGTACTTATCTACACAGAAACTGCCCTGACAGAATCGCGGGCCGGATTCAAACGAAATGTCATCTCACGATGATTGGCCGAACTATCAACCGTAGGCGCCTTTACTTACCAGGTACCTCGTGTAAAACCTGCGCAAGCGCGGCGGCGATTCGGCGGACCAGTACTTCAAGTCGACGGAGCTCATCGCGGGCGTGAAAGACATGCGCTTCCAGGCGCTCATGCTCAGCATTACCAAGATCGACAACATGGTATTTATGAGCGACATGTACCTCTAGCGAATTGAGATTTTGAAACTCATCTTTTCTTTTGCCTTTCGAAATTGTAGGAAATACAACGCGATCGTCCAGTCGAGTATCACCATCCGCAAGCGCTACGACCTCCTCGGTTTGTCCCAAATTCTACCCTTTCCCATACGTTCATATCTACAATTGATTATCTCATAACGAATAAGCTACTAATGCATAATATCTAATAATGCATAAAAAATCTGGGAACCGACCTCGTCCCAGCCTAAATATGCAAGATATCTACTATATAATATTTATGCATACAGGTGGATTTAATAAGTTACGGACCGGCCGAAAAAGGAAATTGTTCGTGCCAGCTCTTGAGCACCCTTGCAATGCCAGTTTTTTCAAGGGTATGGCTCCTGCGGCTTGACTGCGGAACAAATCAACAAGAACCACAATGATTATGAGGTTTCTATTTGGTGCGTCGAGATTTTTTATCACATATGAGCAGTGAGATCCACAATTTTGACGCGCGTCGACACACCTTCCTTTTTCGGCCGGTCCGTAACTTTTTAAATCCACCTGTATAACGAAATGTATTTTTTAAATCATTTAAAAGTCATTTAAATCTCTTTACTATTGCATGATATCTATTAATGCGAAGGAAATTCTGGAACGAGCGTATGCATTATGAGATAATCAACTGTAAATTGACCCGTCAACCCCAGATCACGTCCGATTCGCGCGCCGAGATCGACGCTAAGATCGCTGCAGGCTGTTTCACGAATGGGAAGCAGATTGCCCAGGCAGACCTTGCCAAGACGGTTGGCGTACATGGGAGAAAGCGGATCATTGAACACTTTTTCTCCCTTTCCTTCGGCTGGTCTAGCGCTCGGTGCGGAAACAAATGGAGTGGGCTGTGATATTTCTCGAGTAACCCCTTCTGTATGCTGTACGATAATCTACAAAGAAATAAGAAGTCCTACTGATAGCTTTATATTTTAAGCTCCTTATAAGTTCACCGTGCTGGTTCAATTGGGTACCACTTGTTGAAGAGCATCTCCGGGTCGTACTTCTTTTTGAGTCGCTGGAGGCGCGGGTAGTTGTCTCTGAATAATGCCTGCGAGCGGCTGAAGGGAACGTTCTCGTCTCCGACTAATTAAAGAAAAGAAAAACATTAGTTGATAATTTATCGAAGTTACCCATGAGTAGCGTGAACGTACTGAAATTCGCATATGCCTTCTCCTTCGCCTCAACAGGGTCCGCCTCGCCGCTAACCAGGACGTCCACAAACTTGCTCGCCATCTCGCGCACGCCCTGGGATTTCTCCGCTGCGCCGGGCTCGTTATCCCAAAACGCAGCGCTGACCGCCCAGGCGTGTGGCGTGCGGTTGTTGAACGCCGTCGCGTCGCTTGGCACACTACTGACCTTATCTTGATTCGTAAAAAAGGATCCGGCCATTATGCGCAGGTCGCTCCGCGGCTCAGTCTCTGCGACGAAGGTATTATAGAGCTTCTCAGCGACGGCAACGTTATAGCCTGCGACGGACGCGCCCTTTTCGTAGGTGTACTGCCCATGGAAAGAGCCTGGATTCTGCATATACGAAGTTATTGATCAGTAAAGACGCTAGGGGAGACGCGGGAAAAGAGGTCAGTTTCACCTGAAGAGTGTTCAAAAGCTCATACGGTATTTCTTTTGTTTGGTCGATTGGATCTGGGAGATTTGCTTAATTGGGGGAGCGCAAATGTCTAGGTGTAGATCCCTCACTCAGGTCGAGGAAGTCCTTGTATACATTCCTTCCCTCTTCTTCTGAGCCATTGTGGAAGACGATAATAACGACAGCCGGCTGACCAAAGAAAGGCACCGTTAGCTTGAGGATATACGCTGATCTATCGAATTTGACTCACGATACGTTCGGCTGTAGGAAGCCACGTCGTCATTTGAAACAGACTTTCCTTCGGAGACGGGAATCCCCGCGCCAGCCATTTCTCCGTGATTTTCATGGACTCGACTGCCAAGGGGCCCGGAAAGGCCAAGATACCAGCGTAAACAGTCTTTCGCTGCTCGTGCAGCCTAAACACGAATTCGGTACAGACGCCAAAGTTACTACCGCCGCCCCTGATCGCCCAGAAAAGGTCCTCGTTTTCGGTCTCGTTAGTTGTGACGATAGATTCATTCGCCAGGACCATTTTCGCCTTACGAAAGGACAATGATCAGTTACCTTAGGGGTTTTTTTTTGAGATACGGCCGATGAAGACTTACTTGCACGAGATTATCGATAGTGTGTCCATGCGCGGATGTAAGATATCCAAATCCTCCTCCAAGAGTAAGACTTTGATGCCTTTAGTAGGTTTATATCGAAGGAAAGGCAGTATATTCACCCTCCCACACCGGTCTTGAAGAGTAATATCAGTGTACGGATCTGAAGAAGAAATTAGAATAGGACAAGAAAGAAACTTACGTGGTTCACTGTGCCTCCAACTGTTGCCAGACCAAACCTGATCGCAGCATTGTCGACCGCTCCCCAGAGCGCACCGCCACCAACATATGCGAGCTTTTTCTCCGAGTCAATGCGAACACCGTTGATGAATCTTGAAAGATCGATGACGAGTCCGCCTTCACTAGATGAAGCGCCTGGGGTACTATGTCCGCCGCCGCGGATCGCGAGCGGCAGCTTCTCTGCAGTCGCGTACTTTATGGCACGCGATACATCGTCTTCGTCTCTGACGAACGCGACGATCTTGGCGCGCCGAACAGCTTGGGCCGCCCAGCGAAATATGGCCTTTTCATATTCCGGATGGTCAGGTGTGACGATGTCGCCTTTGAAAGAACTTTGGAATTGCGTGAAGGAGGACATGATGGAGTGAGCACCGCGAATCGTGTCGATGCGTCTAGTTGAAGGACGAATCCAATATGCAGCTTTATAGGCAGGCGATATGGATGATTGGGACTCATGTTGAACCCCATTCGCTCCGGCATCTCGCACGAATTCGCTCGGCGAGCGGCGTGGAAGCCATCAAGTTATCGGTGCAGGTGAGCGCAGATTTGCGCGGACAACCAATCTATATGTAGAGCGAGCATGATAGGCATGAGGGATTGTCGACCCACTTTCATATCACTTCAAATGGTAAGCACAGTGATGGCTTTTCATGATGTGGCTGTTACGTGAGCGCGCTGTTCGCGAGTTCCCAAATACTGCCCTCCAAGGGGCAACTGAATCCCACGACATCGCTATGTGAACCAGCATGCATGAATTCGAGATTTGGTGGCAAACAAACTCACTGCATCTGAGGAAGTATGTTTGAAATTTTGGACGATCGTACGGGCAACAGCATGCAAAAGTTGAGACATTCTAGTTGTGTTCCGTTTCGCAGATACGCTTGTCTTGGCTCTGAATTCTCTTTTAACTGGTCTGGGGATTCTGATCGTCCTGAAGAATTCTTTCGACCTTATACCATCCCTGATCCTTGCCACTTTCTAGTCTATGCTCAGAACTCGTCTCCAAATCACCGCGGAAATGCGGAAATCAGCGACCTACTGCTCGTGTAGAGGCCATGAAGATATTCAAAGGAGTTCTCAAAGACGGCGTTCTCGGTATCGATGTTGGCCTAGAAGAGATAGACCCGAGGTGCCTGGAAGAAGGCATCACGAAGAAGTGGTATACGTTGCAGAGATTCTGTGTTGAGTCGCCATTTGTATTTGGACTTAGCGAGAATTCGATGCGCGTCGGATGTCCCAGCCTTGCATCGTCCGGTACAATGCCGCCCAACCTCATCGACGGATGGCCTATTTGGACATTCCTTGCGCAGTTTGCTTTCATTGAAGGTACAGTAAGATGTGATTATAATTTTGCAGTGCTTAGTCCATTCTGCTGTTTATGTTCCGACAAACCACGGAATACGTCTCTAAGGGTGTGGAAGCAACTTCCTATCCATTGGAAATTCCTATTGTTACATGTCTTTTTGAAGCACTATTTGAGCAGAGGGTGGCACCGTCCAAGTCTCGCCAAGTCTTAATAAATATGGCAATTTATTTCATTCCACCTCACCCGCAATTGTTATCCTTGTTGCAGAGCTATAATTATAATTTCCTGAGGAAAACAACTAAATGGTCCGTGGTGTACATATACGGCCCTGCAATCAACAAGCATTTATCATACATGTAGCTACCAGTCAAGCTCAAGATCTGCTCCTTTCGGCACCTCTTTTGTCCAATCAAATATACCACCTCTTTCGATGAATGCTTTCTCATTATACCCCGCATCTTTTAGAGCTTCGGCGACGCCGA